CATCCTTTTCAGTGTCTCTACAAACAAAACATCAGAGAACTCTCCCAAGACTGTCTCAAGGTCCACCGAGAAAAGCCTCTGGGTCTCCAGTAAGAGCATGGGGGCAGACAGCAAATGTGAAGGGCTAGAAAACACCACTCCTTAATTCTACTCTGAGGCAGGAAACAGAGCAGCCAATGACTTCGGCAGAACAAGGATGGTGTGAAATGGCAGAGCTGAGGTAAGCTGGCAGTCCAAACACAACGTCTTCTCTTATGTAAGAAACCACAGCCGTGTGCTAGCTGCCAGGGTAAAATAATGTGCCTCTGTGTGAGGGACTCTGGAACTGAGAGACTGGGTGTGCTGGGGGTTTGTCAAAGCCATGTACACATGGTCTGTTCATGAGTATTCAGTTTCCAAAGTGGGCTCTGACACTGACAAAAACCAGACACAGGGCCAACTGACCAAAGTGGCCACGCTTTCCACTCCCTGCCTGGGCCACTACCTCACGTGTGTCCAACACCCCTTCTTTCAATAGACACTTACAACCGGGAAACTCCATACCTTCCAGTAGCTTCTTTGGGGCTAATTAACTTAAAAGCTTTTTTTTTTTTTTTTTAAAAAAAAAAAGAGGGCTTCCAGACAGGGAGAGAAATGGAATAAGGAATGTTGTATTTGGCCTTAGGCAGCCTAGGTTTCAGAAGCCCTCAGCCTGGAAACACAGATGTGTGTGAGCAGTCTTTCCTGCTGTAAATTTCAGAGGACCAATGTGGCAATTCTTGGAATCCCCAGTGAGCCTTTTTCATCGCTCAACAAAGGAGATGGAGGGGCTGAAAAGATAAAGCTGGAAACAGAGTCAGCCTGAGGTCCAGGCAGGCAATCGAGTTTAGCTCAGAAATGGTTGAGGTCAAGGAGAATCCGGTGATGAGGGAGGAGCCTCTGTGAAGGAGGACGAGTGTTCTGCTCTGGGGCACACAGTTGAACCCAAAGCCAGTCAACACAGTGAATGAAGGAAAATGCAATATTCAGTCACAGACGCTCTCTCTTCAGAGCAGCAGAGCAGCAGAGAGCATCCATTCAGACAGGGAAAAGGAAACGGAGGAGAGCGAGGGCATTTAGATGTATTCATTACAAGTAGGTCCTGGACCTACTGTGTGCCTGGCTCCTAGTCACCTACAGCCCAGAATGACAGAGGGACTTGAACAAGCAATTACAAGTGTGAGAAAGACATGGTCAGACGCGTGGTTCCCCAGGATTGTCACTAACCTGAAGCTTCAGGAGTTAAATGTCAAGACACTGAGCAAGCTTTGAGAAAGACCATCATGGGGAGGATGCTCAGTCTGGAGGAAGGCAGTGTATGGGTCAGACTAAAGTCATTTATTATGACTAGAGCTCAGAGTGCAAAGGGACAGTGGCTTCCATGGGAGGCTGAGGGGCAGGTGGGGCCCATCTGTCAGAGATTTTCAGCTTACTTAAGGATTTGGAAATTTATCCCTAAAGACAATAGGAAGTCGCTGTGGCATTCCAAGTGGAAAAAGTCATGCTTAGAAGTTTTACTTAAAAAGGTTAGTATAAAGAAAGATGAATAGCCAGACGGTAGCAGGTGTCTTTAATTCCAGCACTTGGGAGGCAGAGGCAGGCAGATCTCTGAGTTCAAGGCCAGCCTGGTCTACAGAGAGAGTTCCAGGACAGTCAGAGCTACACAGAGAAACCCTGTCTCAACAAACCAAAAAAGAAAAAGGACAGACAGACTGCTGGTCTGGTGGTCGCCTGGGCCAACGGCAGAGTGTCTTCAGGACAGGTCAGGACGGGTCAGCTAAGGATTGTGCTTCAGGCTGAGTTTAGACACACAGCTGGCACAGGGAGCTCGGGACACAGGAACAACAGTGGCATCATCGCTTCTCAGGAAGGCAAGGGACCAGAGCAGACTTCACAAACTACTCTGAACCCAGGCCATTTCTTCCTCAGCTGCACATCTGCAGTGCTCGCTCGCCCTGGGCTTGCCATCTCTCAAACAGCAGTGACTACCCTATCTGACAGGAAAGGGCAGGCCGGTGAGATGGCTCGGTGAGGGCACCTGCCACCATGCCTGACAACCTGAGTTCAAGTCCCAGACCCACAAGATGGAAGAAGAGAACTGACTCCCTGAAGGTTGTCCTCTGACCTCTGTATGTTTGTGTACACACAACTACACTAAATTTAAGAACACGTAATGAAAGACTTTTAAATAAAGAAAAAGTGCATCCTGTAAAGGCACTGACCTGTAACTTGAACACTAGCAGAAGTTCAGTTTAGATACTTCATTTAGAAATCTCATAAAAGATAAAGGTATTCTCTGATTTCCACCAGCTCCCTGCAAGCAGCCGTACTTCAATCCCTCTACTAGTATTTACAACAGGATAATGCACTAAGGTCACCATCTTGTTGCCTGCGTCTCTTCAGCTTAGAAACAAGGGAGGGAGGAGGGCACTGGATCTATACATTGGAGGATGATTATAGGAACTATGTCCTTTCTGGGTTCCAACACCAAAGCCAACTGAAAAGCCTGCTGTCCTCACTACCAAGCACTCTGGAGGCCAGCTCAAGTAAGGAGTGGCAATCCTGGGCACCGACATGGTCCTCCAGATACTGAGGTAGTAAGTACTCCTGGAAAACTGAGACTCCCAAACTCTTCTCTGGAATATTCTATACCTAAAAGTGGGTAACACACACACACACACACACACACACACACACACACACACACACACACACACACGGGCCTTGTCACATTCTAAATCCTCTAAGAAAAAGACACTGTCCAAACTCTACCTCAGAAAAGTGTTTTAGCCTCTGGCCAAGAAAGGGGGGTGGGGGGACGGCTTCCCTGGGCTGCTGAATAAAGAGCGTTTTCAGAGTTCGGAGTTTTCCAACTGCTTGGAAACAGGAAGGGCCCAATCCCAGAGAACAGTAACCCTCACACACGCCCTACATAAAGACATGTTGAACCATTAGCCCTAATTGCCTGTGACTGACATGGAGTGAGGCCGGCCTTCCAGGCATTTGCTCACCGGAAAGAAAACAAACAGCTCACTGGGGACACAGGCGGCCATTTTCTCTCCTTTCTGCCAAAATGATTCTGCCTGTTCCCCCAAATTACAGCACAGATTTGAAAGTACAAACAACACATGGTTCTTTCAAGTCTCTCACACCACATATGAAAGAGAAAAGAAAATCTCTGCAATTGGTTAATAAGCTTTTCACACAAGCAAACACTTGACAAAAGAAAACGGCCTTTTCAAGACTGCCTCTCCACACTCCAACTTTCTTAAGCTTTGAGATAATAAGAATTATCTGCAATGGTTTTCATTTGCTCAACACTATTTAGTAGAAAGAAGTTACGTGAATGCTAAGTACAAGCAGCAAAGTCACACATGCTTTCTGATACAGGATTTTTAACAACTGCGAGTTCAGAATGGGCCTTATGAACAGGGCATCGTATGCCCCATGAAGTAAGAGACATCTTTCCAATGTCCATTCTGAATTATACACTGAGGGACTACTCACCATCCTCAAGGCTACATCAGCACATCACCAGTCAGTGAGCCGGACAGAAGCGGGTTTCTTCAAAACTACTCTTTTCTGAGTCTATTTATGGGGGGGGGGGGGGGGGGGGGGGGGGGGGGAGAGGTGCTGGGGGAGGGGTCCCTGTAGAGATCAGTGGACAGCCCACAGGTGTCAGCTCCGCTTTCTCTTTACCGGGTAGGGCCTGGGGGTGGGTCTCAGGCCGTCAGGCTAGGCAGCAAATGCCCTCACTGCTGGGCCATCTCACCAGCCTAAAACAATCTGTTCAACAACCACTTACTTGGGGGCAGGGAGCATGTGCCACCTGCGGCAAGGGTGGAGGTCAGAGGGTGGCCTGCAGGAATCAGTTTTTCTCCCTCCACCTGGAGGTTGAGGCTTGGTGGCAAGCAACTTATACTAAGTCATCTTGCCAGCACGTGACACTGGTTTCTCTTGTACCATGCTGATAACCAGGTGGACAATGGGACTGGCCCTGAGAACAGTCGGCCTTAACTGAGGGAAGCCTTGGTTTCCCAGGTCAGAAGCAGTCTCTGCCTTTGAGGCTCCTTCACAACTACTTCAAAGCAACACTTGCCTGTCTCCAGCACATGTTTTACACACACCATTTTATTGGAGTCCCTAGATGTAGATGCTTATTGTCACCACACAACCAACATGTAAGTCACACAGCTAGGCCACACAAGTGAGGTAGAGGGATGGATTCAATCCCCAATCTAATTGATCCCCCCCCCAAAATTCATGTTTTTTAAATTTTTTCTATATGTGTTTAGTGTGTATGTGCATGTGCGTGTATGTGTGTAAAAGGTCAGAGGACCACTTGTAGGAGTTAGCTCTTTCCTTTCACCATGTGGATATGGAGATCAAAGTCAAACTGCCCAGCTTGGTGGCAAGTGCCTTTATCTCCTGGGCCATCTGGTCAGTCCCCAGAATCGATAGGGATTTCGAATCCCCACACTCTACACAGTCAAAATTGAGCTTCCCTTTGTCTTGCTGGAGTGGTCACCTTGGTTGAGGTCTTTGCTACCCAAAGTAAAAGAGCAAGAAAACGAGCACCTATGTTAACACTGGCCACAGCTGTGGGGATAACAGCCACAGGAATTCAGCACCTAAAGCCCGAGTCCTTCATGGGTTGCCAAGGTCAAACTGAGGAGGGAAAAACCGATTGTCTGGACAGCATCTAGTCAGACACCTCCCAGAAGCCATCAAGGCAATGGGATCCTTGCTCCACAGAAGCTGTCCGCTTGGATCCCAGCCAAAGGCAGCACGAACCCGCCTCCCGGGATGCTTTAGGCTCTTTCAGATGTTGGCCGAGCAAGAACTTCACACCTCTCTTGCTTCTAAACATGGCAGCCTTCCCAGAGACCGCTGGCCAGTAGGTAGGAAATGACCACATTGTTTCTGACCTGGTGGAGGAGGCAGTCCCTGAGAGTGCCATCATGGGACACAAGGCGACTCACCCGGCAGGGAGAGCATCAGAGGCCTGGGCAGTGGCAGGGAGCTGCTGTGTCCCCGAAGTGCTGGGCTCCTCTCCCTCGGCTGGTGTGGACGGTGCAGGGAGAGATGTCGTGTTGGGGCTTGGGGACACACTCAAGGCTGCGGCAGGTGGGGCTGTCACACCAACAACAGAAGGCTCTTCGGGATCACTGGCTGTGGTAGGTTCCTCGTTCACTGAAATGCATAAACCACACTTAAAGATAACCAGGAAAAAGACTTTTGTTTTCTTTGACTAGGTTTTGCACACCATACACTAACACTGCGTCTATGATATTGGCCTACTCAGACAATCGTGAGTTTTATAAACCCAGGCCTCTCACACTGGTTCCAGCACTCAGAAGGTAGAAGCAGGAGGATGGCCTCAAGTGTGAAGCCACACAGTGAATTTCATGCCAGTCAGGTCTGATAGTAGCCAAAAAGGATGGGTAGGGACACATTTACACTCTAGTTAGAAGTGCACATTTGTATTTCATATATGGAAAGGACTCTGCACATACACACTATATAATAATCATAATCCCAATAAGCAGACACACTGATGAGAGTGTGCCCAAAGTCCCTGAGTTTGGCTCAGGAGAGATGGGATAATAAGAGAAAAGTATAGGAGACAACAAGGAGAGCCGCACCATGAATCTCACAGACAAGGCTTGCCACCCGGCCAAGGCTCCAGAATGACTGGCTGCCTCGGTCCTGATCCCTAAGAGGTGTGCTGGCAGGAGCCGAGAGGGAAGGCAGATTTTCCAGGGTACTAATCCTGCTTCCACAGGTTGTCAGATCTAAATAAAGTATAGTTTAAAGATTCGATTCCTGGGGCTAGGGAGACGGCTCAGTGGTTACGAGTACTTGCTATTCTCCCAGGGGAGCTGCATGAGCTTTGCAGCACTCAGGGCAAATGGCTCCAGGGCATCTGTCACCTCCGGCCTCATGTGCACATACCAACATGCAGATACACACACCTACACATAACTAAAACTAACAATTTTAAGAGAAAAGAAGATTCAATTCCTGTATCTGATCATCAGTGTCTTGGTACTCTGGTTACAGGGCTCCATATAAACTCTAGGCCAGACAGCCAGGGCTACTCTAATGAGAACTTATTTCCAAAAACAACAAACAAAACACCAACCAAAGCATTACTATAAAAATTACAGTACGTTAGTAATGCCTTCCCAAAGAACATGAGAGAATGAATCTTAAGTAAATTAATTAAATACAGCGTTCTTAGGTTTTCTAATACACTGCGGTTACCCTGACACCAGCAGAAGGAAAGAGTAGCAGGAAAGACGTGAACAAGGATGGGTGCTGGTGGAAGTGAAGCCCGACCAAGGCCAAGCTGACAGAGGCCCATCCTTCCCTTTAAAGTGCCCTCTGGCCAGGCGTGGTGGGGCACGCCTTTAGTCCCAACACTAGGGAGGCAGAGCTAGGCGGATCTCTGAGTTCCAGGCCAGCCTGGTCTACAGAGTGAGATCCAGGACAGGCACCAAAGCTACACAGAGAAACCCTGTCTGGAAAAACCATAAAAATAAAAAAAAAGCACCCTCTGCCTGCTGGACATGGACAGCACCTTTCTTCAAATGCCTCTGCACACATAAGAAGGTAGAAACTTCCATATGTTCTTTTTTATTATTTTTATCTTATTTTATGTGTTTGAGTGTTTTGCTTCCATGTATGTCTGTGCATGACATGCATGCAGTGCCCGCTGAGGCCAGAAGAGGATGTTGAGTCCCTTGGAACTGGAGTTACAGACAGTTGTGAGCCACCACCTGAGTGCTAAGAATTGTACCCAGGTCCTCTCCAAGAGCAGACACTGCTTTGAACTGCTGAGCCATCTCTCCAGCTGCCCATAATGTTCTCTTAAAGCAGTGGATCTCAACCTTCCTAATGCTGTAACCCTTTAATACAGTTTTTCATGTTGTGATGACCCCCAACCATAAAACTATTTCATAACTGTAATTTTGCTACTGTTATGAACTGTAATGTAAATATCTGATAAGCAGGATATCTGATATGCGACCCCTGTTAAAGGGTTGCTCAACCTCCAAGAGGTTTCGACCCACAGGTTATGAAGCACTTTTTTAAAGATTCTTGATTCAAGGACAGAAGCTGGGATTAATAGCTACATAAAAGAGGCTAAGAACGAAGGACTTGTCTCCAAGGCAACAACAGCTAACAACGAGTGAAACAAGGTAGCTCCTAACCCTTTCCACATCACCGTGTTTCTTCAGGTCTTTGATGATCACTGTGTCTACAAGGACCCCAGGGCTCTCTAAGTCCTCTAACTTGGAAGAGAGCGCAAACAAGGTTTCAAAGAACTGCAATTCTTGGAAAACAGGAGCTATATGCAGAACTGTGTACACATTTATATCAGAATTTCAATGCAAAACAGCACAGTCATCATGTAGTTTCTTCTTTCTAATTCAGAGACTTGTTTTGTAGTTCCCCTAAAAAGGAGGTGTGCACCTGCTCCTGGATCTCTGAGGAGATCGCCACAGTTACAGTTTACTGTAGAGCAGATGTAGTTGAAGGAAGTTCAGCTCAACCCCATCAGCTGGCCTCCATTCTCCACTTAAGTAAGTGTCTGGCGCATTTTCTGTTTCTCATTAGTCTCAGCCTCCGAGCCCGACACAAAGGCTACTATCTCCTCACTGTTTCTAAGCTATCCTTCTCTAAATGCCTGTCATTTCTACTAAATAGCATCAGGATCTGACCAAGAGAGTCAGGTGACACATTTTAAAAGATTTATTTTATGTATATGTATTAATGCTTTGCTACATGAATGTATGTGCACTACTCGTGTGCTTGTGTCTGAGGAGTTCACAAAAGGGCTACAGATTCCCTGAACTGGAGTTAGGGAAGGTTACAAGCTGCCACGTGAGTGCTAGGAACTGAGCCAGGGTTCTCTGAAAGAGCAGAGTGCTCTTAACTGCTGAGTCATCTCTCCAGTCCCAGAAGACAAATTTAAATCAAAATAATAAACACTACTACTGAATATGGGATGGAGTGGGGTGTGTGCCAGACAAGACACAAAGTTCATTCTTGGGATTATTTCTTTAAGCTTCACACACAACCCCACAGTTAGGCCCCTCAATTACTTTATACTGAGGAAACCAGCATCCATGAGGCTAATACCCTGGCACGGTCGGTCATTGGACATCTACTTCATACTCTGCTGTCTCCCTAAGGACTTAGGCCGCTCACTCCACTTTTCTGCACTTCTGTCAGTAGGAACCAAGATTACATATAACCAGATCCAACTGGCTAACACTGGTAGTCAGCTGAAACCTAAATGTCTTCCCAGGATGTAACCAAGCTTGACTTTTAACAAATGGCTGTGAGCCTGAGATGTGGAAGTGCCTCTGACTGAGTCCCTTGAATTTTCTTCTATTTGTTTATCTTGCAGTGCTGAGGATCAAACCCAGAGCCTTGCACAGGCTAGGCGAGTGCACTGTTCTGAGCTGGGCTGTATCCTTAGCCCAAGACTTGCTTGCTTTCTTCTCAGTGTCAATACTGCCTGGCAAAGAGGCTACATCAGATGCTTAACAACTAAATCTGTACAATGAATGTTTCCCCAACATAAATGCAAAACTTTATTTTCCATATTCTGTCTGAGCTAAGCTAGTACATACAACAGATGGTAATCCTCTTTATGCAAATGTATAAACCTTATGCAATTCCAATCTTTAAAAAACCCCACCAGGCCTTTTTAAGTCACTAGATAAATTCACTGTAAAATTACAAGGGAAACTAACTTTCTAAGAATAGAGATAAAGTCTAAAGATGAGTGCTGGTTTCTGTTGGGGATTCTTCCCTAGCACATCAGACCTATCACAGAGCTATAATAATGTACTAAATCGTGAAAAGTCAGAGAATGAGTAAATTAACAAAGAGTTCAGAAACTGACAAAGAATTCAATAATTCATTGGAGGTTGCAAAATACTGATTCTAATTCCCTTGGTGTGGTCTTCATTTAAATAAAGACGAGATGCCCCTCAACCACTCTGCTTCCCCAGGTTCAGTTTGTGAGAGATGGAGCCTATGGAAAAGCTCGACTCTTCCTCTGCCAGTCTCCAGAAGGAGCTGATGACCTTGCGTCATCTGAAAAATGACGTTTTGTTTTCTTTAAAAATTTACTGAGCAGGTGGAGGTGGCGAGTTGGCTCAGCCATTAAGATAACATACTGCTCTTCCAGAGAACCTGGAACACAGTTCCCAGCACCCTCTGTCTGATGGCTCACAACCACCTGTAACCTACTTCCAGGGGATCCAACGCCTCTGGGCAACTCCGTGCCCTCTACTCTTCTGCACACATCCACCCACACAGCATCACAGACAAAGCTTTCTGAAATGTGTAGAAAATCACTTGAGGTATAGGGTTTAAACATGTCTTTATGTGTTAAGGTTTATTAGCTGGGGTTAGTGGAGGAGTGCAAAGGGCCAAGCTCTTCACACTGGCTTCAAGTGCTATGAGGAAACTCTAAGATGATTCAATGGGAAACTGCTCAACAGTGTAGATCTACTGCTATCATCTGTGTGTGCCTGTGCACGTGTGTGTTCTCCCCTCGGATAACACACATGCATACACTTGCACACTGGAAATGGCTTCAGGGGAAACACAAGAGCGGCCGCCTCTGCATGTGTGAGTTAAGCTTTCTCTCTGTCCTTTGAGACAGGGTTTCTCTGTGTAGCCCTGGCTGTCCTGGGAACTTTTCTGTAGACCAGGCTGGTTCTGAACTCAGAGATCTGCCTACCTCTGTCTCTCCTTGCTGGGACTAAAGGCATGAGCCACCAGGCCAACTTAAAATGCTTTTTTATTTAAAAATTGTTAATAGGTGTTTGTGTATACATGTAAATGTAGGTGCCTGCTGAGACCAGGAGTGCTGAGTCCCCTGGAGCTTGCAGTCAGTCTTGAGGTGTGTGAGGCGGGTGCTAGGAACCAAAATCAGGTCCTTTGGAAGAGGAGTAAGTGCTCTTAATTAAATTTCTTCAGCCCCCATGGAAATCAAGTTCTATGTACAAATATTGTAAAGACAGTGGTATCGTGACTCTTCTTCAGCCCACAACCATGCCCTTAGTGTCCTATTTTCTAACCAAGTGCCCTTCATAAGCCCTTGTGCTTACATTACAATATATATATGTCTTTAAAGGGGCTAGAGTGTTAGCCCAGCAGTTAACAGC